AGCTCAATTAGGCATGTCAATGTGGTGAAGTTGTACTGCAGCATTACTAGTGAGGACTCAAGCTTGTTGGTATATGAGTACTTGCCTAATGGTAGCTTATGGGATAGGCTTCACAATTGTAAAAAACTCGAACTCGATTGGGAAGCAAGGCACGAGATCGGGTTAGGAGCGGCAAAGGGACTCGAGTATCTTCACCATGGATGTGAGAGATCGGTGATTCACCGGGATGTCAAGTCCAGTAACATATTGTTGGATGAGTTCTTGAAGCCTAGGATTGCTGATTTTGGCCTTGCCAAGATTGTTCAGGCCAATTCTAATAAGGACTCCACCTCCTCACATGTCATTGCCGGTACCCATGGTTACATAGCTCCTGGTGAGTGAATTTCCTTCTATAAATCTTGAAGCAAAGCATTTATTTAGTTTTTACCTATCCTTACTAATGTGAATATTTAATTTTTCAGAATATGGTTACACATGCAAAGTGAACGAAAAGAGTGATGTTTATAGCTTTGGAGTGGTGTTAATGGAGCTAGTGAGCGGAAAAAGGCCGATAGAACCGGAATATGGAGAGGGCAAGAACATTGTTCATTGGGTTTGCAGCAAATTAAAGACCAGAGAGACCATACTAAGCATTATAGACCCAAAAATCTCAAGTGCCTATAAAGATGATGCCATCAAGGTACTTAGAATTGCAATTCTGTGCACGGCAAGGCTACCAGAGCTAAGACCCACAATGAGAAGTGTTGTTCAAAAGTTACAAGACGCCGAGCCCTGCAAATTGGTTGGCATAGTCATCGGAAAAGATCCCGATGCCAAGAGAAAGGGAGCGACAGATACTGGCAAGTTTAATCCAGAGCCATAGGCCTCTAAAATTGGCCTTTTGGGCATTTTGTCATGGCTTGTAGAATTGTTGTAACATATTGTAGTTGTAAAATATTATGTAGAGGGTATTGTGTGCTAATGATTTCCTTAAGGGGTAAGTAAAGCATAAGAAAATGCAAAAGCTCCAAGGAAACGATGGATGCTTGCATCATGTTTCAGAAGCCAAATTAATAAGAGAAATGCAGACAACAGTGTCTTGCATTGTTTGTGAGATTAATTGGAGCTATCAATTTTGGGTGGGGACACTATTTTGTACAAAAATTTGGTTCTTTATACTCCGGAGCTAGCCAACATTTAATACTTCTGTTTTTTCTTGCTGGGTGTTCACTCGGGGTAATATGGATAGCCCGAGCAATATCTGCCACAAGATGTCAAGAAAAAATCAATTTTGCTGCTGGCTCTCCTTAAATTCAATCCTGCCAGTCACTGAGCTGATTTAGAAAAATGTACAGTACATTACAGATAAATATAAAATAATTTCTTCGAGCCATACATTTTTGTTTTGTTTTGTTTTGTTTTTTTGTTTTTGTTTTTTTTTTTTTAAGGTTCCAAACTGAAGTTTTGGTCTTTGATGCTTGATGGGTTTGCACTTTGCATGGATTGGACTCACTAACCGACCAAGCATTACAAAAATCAGTATTGTTGGGTTCAGATGGCCTCCAGGTCCAGGCACGGAAATGGACGTTAAGTTAAGACTTTTTTGTTTTATAGGCCTATGATGTAAAATCAGCCCGTATAATCAAAAAATAAAAATCATGGGCCTATAGACCATTCCCGCCAGAAGCCCTAGCTAGAGGATAGTCTACACTCTACTTCCATGTTGGGAACACTTGCCTAGAGCGAACATTGTAATTGGACTAGCCTAATAAAAGCTGATTTTGTGGTAAACGGAAATGTAATTGGATTGGAAAATAATGGTTCTTTGTACAATGACTGAGTCAACAAAGCTTTTTGGTGTGACAATATATAAAGGAACAAATGAGATTTATAAAAGTCTCACACAAGAATATTTTTTTTAAAGATAAGTGTGTAATTGTTATCAATAAAAATTTGAATTAATGACTACTCTACATTCATGCCACATTGACATCGAAAAGAAGATGATCCTTTTTTCTTTTCCTCTTCTCCACTTTATTACTTCAATGGATGAAGATTTGCTTTGATCTTACCCTTGGCAAGGTTGGTTGGAAAAGCATTAGCAAAAGAATGTTACTTCTAAACTCTTACACTCCTCTCTTCTCAGAAATATCCACTACTCTTTCACCTTTTACTTTGCTCTAGAGTTCAATCATTCCTAATTTTCACTAAAACATAACGTTTGCCCATTTGATATCTACTCTAGGCATATATACTATTTCGAATTCTACACATTCTATGATATTTTTTCTAAATTTCCAAAATTGCAAGAAGGGAGCAAATTAAAGAGGAAGAACGCTTTTAAATTTTCAAATCTCCCCATTTCAAGTTGAAAGATCATTCCTTGAGAATGCACACTATTTGAATTTACTCCATTTTTTATATTTATTTTATTTGCTACTAAATAGCACAATTATTTAATTTTATCCATGTTGAGATGCTCCATATAAAAAAGGAAAAGAGTACAACAGAGAGAATCAATGCTATGCAAGTTGGAACGAGCAAAGGACTCAAGCAATGTTAGCTAAGGTGCATAATTCTAAATCTCTCTACAGCCAATGGTTGCCTTTGTTTTTTTTTTTATTTGTTCGTTACTTTTTTGTCTATTTTGTACTACATATTGATATAATAATATATTTAAATATTATCATTTGTTTATTTAATTTTAAGGCTACCTAGACATTTGATTAATTAAAGATATTTCTCTACTGTTTGTTTTTAAATTAATAACTTCTCATAATTTAAATAGGAACTCAATTTCTATTATTAAGATAAATATTAATATTTTTCTTTATTTTTGGGTTTGACAATAGATAACAAAATTTTCATTGTCATGGTGGGGCTTCCTTGTCTCTTCTAAATAGATTCAAAATTCTCTTTTTTTAAAATTAAAATGCTTTAGCCAGCCTACACAAATCTTAGCTATCGATGACTTATTTATCATGAATTTTATGTATTTACGATCAATTTAAAGTCCTTTCAGATGTAAGTGTGAAAGAAGTGAAAAGATAAAATTCTTACAGGGAAATTGAAGGGATGAAGAGGATTAAGTAAGCCTTAGATTGATGGCCAAATTCAAGGGACAAAGAGGATTGAGCAAACCTTAGATTTAATTTTTTTTTCTCCTCCTTAGATTTGGTTATATATATATATATATTTATTAACATATTAATTTTAAATCAAACTTAAAAGATGTTAAGGCATTTATAAATTCAAGAGACAAACCTCACTAATTTCTGGGAAGAAAAGGTTACTAGTAGTATATAAATTAGTAGAAATCATCTTAGTCAAGTAATAGAAGTGCTCTAGGAACCTACCCACCCTTCTCACATTTTCTCAGTCAATATAGGATGGAAAACCAAGTCATTTAGTCCAAATTAAGTTTAGCCTTCATATCTCTATCACTTCTAACATATATTTAGAAAAATAGAGCAAATTATTCTCAATTCTTAAACAAAAATATAAATAAACTTAATCAAACCGAACAATCCAAAACAAAACTTAAAATAAGAAATTATACCTCTCAAGTGCCATCACATATTTTTCTACAGTGTCTAACATCAAATACAAAGAATTCCACCTTGTGGGAACATTTAAACAAAGCCATTCCTTTGTTTCAATATCTTCAAACTCAACAACATCTTTTGCATCTTTTTAATCTTAATTGGCTTTGTCTTACATATTTAACAGCAACTTTAATAGCAGTTACACTCTTATGCATCTTCTCCTCATTTATTCCATCATCAACCACAAATTGATGACATAAGCTGTGCATCTCATATGTAGATCTTATGCACCCAAAACTGTTGTTCCCCACTTGCTATGAGCATTCTTAAGAACCTTAACAACTCCACTATTTGATGATGCATTATCCACATTCATTGAATACACCTCTTCAATACTCGAGTCTTTCAAACACCTCTCTAAAAGGTCACCTAACTCTTCCCCTTTATGGCTCTCAATAAGACAAAAGTTTAGGATTTTTTTGTGCAACTTCCAATTTTCATCAATATAATATGCAATTAGACACATGTAAGAAATTCTTTGAATTAAGGTCCATGTGTTAGTAGTAAGTGAAACCCTTTGCCTTGATTCTTTGAAAAATGATTAAATTTCACCCTTTCATCCATATAAATATTATAGAAATCTCTAGTTATTGACCTTCTGGATGAGATCCTAAAATTAGGCGAAAATGCAACTAGACAAAGCTTCCTAAACCCTTGCTTTTTAACAAAGCTAAATGGAATTTCATCAACTATGATCAATTCAACTAAAGCCTTCCTCACAGACTTGGGGCTAAACCTCCAAGTGCCTAAGTAAGGCATTTGGCCACCATTCTCAACATCACTACCATAATAATTAAGCAGTGTTTAATTCTTTCTAGACCCAATATGTTGACTATAACTTAATAAATGAGTTTTCATTGAGGAGATCCTATTAGTTATACTATTACTAGCTAAAGACCTATTGTAGTAGTTACATTTAGCCTTATTTTTCCCATCCTTATCAATAATCTCAGTAAAATGAGCCTATACTTCAGATCCTTTCTTACCTTTCTTTTTTCCCCCCATTAATAGCATTCTTGCCTTTCGCTCCTTTTAGTTGTGCTTGTTCGGAATCATCTCCTAATTCAACTTCTACATTTTGTGGCTGCCTATCATTAATAGTATAAGTATCTTGGTTTTGCATTAAGCAACCATCATTGATACCATAAACATCTTGATTTTGTATCAACTAACATACAAGTTTAACTACAAATTAGTTTATTTCTTATATACTTTAGAGTAAATAAATCTTAAGTGTAGAGAAGTTAACATCATCAATTTCTAAAACTTTATACGTACTCTTAAATTGTTAGGTTACATCTCTAGCATCTCTTGAGTTATCAAGAATGTAACACAAATAAGAAGGAGAACTGTAATTGAAAGATCAAAACTAATATAGTTAGCACTTAACATAATCAATATAAATGTAAAATTGAAACAAGATTTAAATTTGCAAATAAGCTAATGTTTAATTTCAGAAATCTCAAAATTGATACTTTAGAATTTAAATGACATAAGATAAACTTAGATTTACTCAAACCAAAATATCATATTTAGGGTAAAACATGACTAATCAATTTAAGGTTTCAAAAATACCTAAATAATAGAAGATTTAAAGCGTTTACTAGCAACCATTGACATAAGTTGAAGGGAGAGAATAAGAGCTTAGAGAAGAGAATTGAAAGGTAGGGATTGGGTTTTTGGTTTCACAACTAGAGATGGATTAAGAAGAAATAGGGAAAAAGAGTAAGGTTAGGAGTAGAAAGAGTGCTACTGGGCAAGAGTGCTACCAAGCAGCACTACTAGTGGTGCTGCAAGGAGAAAAGGACATCAAAAGGAGGGTTTTAGAAATAGATCAAAGTTCGGAGAAGAAAAAGATGAACAAGTATGGAAATGTGATGTCTAAATCCTTTTATACTTATGAAAAAAATAATGGTTGAATGGAAAAAAATTGGGGTAGAATGGTGAGGACGAAGGGAAATTAGATTTTTAGATCTGATTTTAGAAGGGAAAACTTTGGGTGGGAGGGAATCTTAAAATGTTGAGGTGCCACTGCAAGAAAAAGGGATTTTAGTGATGAAAATTTATAACTAATTTTGAAATTATCATTATAATTTATTACAACTGTGACAAATTTCAAAATTTAGTCACAAATTTACACATGTTTAATGATGACAAAAAAATTTGTAAATAAAAAGATATTTCTTCACTAAGAAATAGTCACAAATACATTATAAACTTGTGATAATAAAAATTATCACTATAACTCATTAAAATTATAATAGATTTTAGATATTAGTTACATATATGGACATGCTCAATGTTGATTAAATAAATTAAAGATTAAAATGATATCTTTTTACTAAAAAATAGCTATAGACACAATACATGTTTGTGACCATAAAATTTATCACTACAAATCATCACATTCATCACAAATGAAAAAATATTAATCACAAAATTCACACACTTTCAATGTGGATGAAATGAATTCATTAATAATAAATTGATTCATCACAAAAAAATAATTACAAATACAATATAAATTTGTGATAATAAAAATTATCACTATAAAATAAATGATTAATAATTGTGATTGATGGAATATTAGTAAAACATATTAAACATATTTTGTGACTAAATTAGTTGATCAAAACTTAGTCTTGTGATGTTGTAATTGGCTGAGACCAATAAAAACTAATTTTTTATCACTAATACAAAATATTGAATACAAATTGTTATTAATTTTCTTGTCACTAATAACTTGTCTAAAACATCAACAAATATGACAGAAAAACAACCACGTAAACACAAATCAAGGAAAAATGTTGAGGAATAATAATTTTCCTTTTATGTTCAAATGTTGAGGATTTAAGTATTTAAGAATTAAATTGAGGATTTTTTTTTTTATAACTAGAAATTGAAACAAATTGACGGAGTTAAGGATCACATTTAGCTTTGTATGATGAGTTGGCATGCCACATGTCAACCCGTGATTGGAAATGAGAGAAAGAATGACAGACTAAGGGTGAGTTGGCAATAAGAAGAGGGAAAAAGATTGAGAGATTATCTATAATTTTTTCATATAATATTACTTATTATTTAATAATTGATTTTTTTGTTTTATTGTGACTAGTAATATTATATATATTTAGTC